CAAAGACAACCCGATCAGCTACATCCACCCCAGTAAACAACATGAGGGACTTGGTATCCCAAGTCTGAGTGCAGCCATCCGATACAACGGACAGCGCGTATGGAAAAGCTCCTGTGTACCCAGTGCCGAGTACCACGAAATGTGGTCAGTGATTCAGCTTTTGGCAAGACTATTCGGGACCTGAGCCATCTGATCCGAGTCCATGGTGCATGCGTAAACTCTAAGGAAGAGCTGGTGACTGCTTGGGGCAACACTGTACACAACAGCGTCAACTGTCGCGGTTTAGGAAAGTTGGTCACTACGCATCTTTCGAATCGATGGCTTGTATTGCCAGAACGAGCGTTTCCTCGGGTGTTTGTCGGCGGTATCCAGCTCCAGAGCAATCTGCTTAGGACGAGATTTAGAATCGCTTGGTGTAATCATGGTGGACAGACGATCTTGTCTTGGAAAGTATGACCAATCGGAGAGTTCGGCGCAAATCTGCAGCCCTGCTGGATCACGCAAGATGTTAGATGTGCTCGTTATAATCGGATTGCAAGGGAACTCGCAAAATGTGTTCGTCACCCGGGATACACCGGCTTTGAGGAGTTGAGAGCACCCACTTCGACCGCTTTCATCAGACCTGACCTAATTGCTTTTTGGGAGCACCGAGCAACTGTGGTAGACGTCAGTATAGTCTCGGATGTGGACGGAGTGACAGTGTGGAATAAGAAGAAGCAGAAGTATGGTGCTGACAAGTATTCCCTCGCCATCATCTCAGGCCTAAGTGCAAAGGATTGTAATATGAACTTTTTGGTTCACAAACCTATGATCATTACTTATCGAGGGATCTGCTTTCTTCAGTCCGCCAAACCTGTTATTGAACTGGGACTTCTTCAGGTCACAGTCGATGAATTGTGTTTATTTGCCATCTTGGGCTGTCTGTGTACTTACGATACTTAACCGTAATACATGGCGTTGAGTGGTCATTATTGCCGTTGACTTTCACGACTGACCCAATATGACGGACACTTTATGCCCTAATGTGCGAGCCTCGACTCTGCTAACGCTTACCGCGCCTTGAAGAGCATTTCAGCATTGTTTGTCCTTCTTTGGTTGCTGTTCTTTACACGTGTCTCGGTACCAAATATTCTGGGAGTCATCTTGCTCTGCTGGAACAGTTGGTGGCCCGCCTTCGAAAGGGACGTTTCCCTTGTTTTGTCTGATGTTGTCATGTAACCCTTCCACATATATCGCTTGCATTCACTTTTTACGTCTGTGACCATGTTGTTAAAAAACACGAACGACAATAACGAAGGTATCTTGCACCGCGGCTTTATGGGTATACTGATAAAAATAGGGAATCACATTACTTGTACACATAGTGTGGGCATGCCGGAGTAAATCCTGAAGACCAGTCTTCACGAGCCGCCTCATTGAGAAGCTGGACAGAGGTGCGGAGCCTAAAACTGACTTGATGTCCAGAAAGGTTTGGTTTTAACATTAGCCTTACCTGGGTTTGGATAGGCGTGGATAGACGTGAAATTCAATGAGTCGTTCACTTTGAAGCTTTTCCATTTCGTTCCCCGTCACGTACCTTTCCATATTATCTGCTTCCTCCTTGCTGTCTTGGTTGTTTTTTTTATAGAATTCCAGCCCTTTCGCGCGACTAGTGTCCTACTGATTAACTCTTCTGATCAGAGTGGATCAAAGTTCAAGTCGGCTACTGGCCCTACCTGTTATGACGATGATGAGCCCCAGGGAGGGCGAAATCGGTCGTGAGCTGTCGAAGAGTTTTAAGCAACCAGTGTGAGTAGTTTCCTTTATGAAAATATACCGCGATGTCTGAAATGTCGTGCCAACTGTATCATGAGGCGGCCTGTGTGCAGCACACTCAGTTGAAGGACATAATAAACGAGAAATTCGCTTGAGTCTCCCGTGAAAACCAAATTGATTTGCAAATGAGTGTATTCCTCGAAAACAATGCAATCTGGGTTCAATTAGATCATAAGGTTCACGGAAACTCGGGGACTGCGCCTACCTGATGAGCCTGAAGCGGAAGGGCGAAATCGGTCGTGTGCTGCCGAAGAGTTTTCAGCAACCTTGTGAGTAGTTTCCTTTATGAAAATTTGTATACTTGTTTTAGAGGGAAATGGAACATTTAATCTTTGGTAGACAGTTCTGATCTCCAACGGTTTGGTGTTAATGTGGTAGGCCCAGATCAACGCAAATGAGCCTGCACAGCAGGAGTAAACGAGAAGAAGTGACAGGAAGCAAATTTTGAGATCAAACACAACCTGGTTTGGAGGTCTGTCCGCCAAAGGAAATCATCACACCTTCTTTAATCACAGTCGAACAAGTACGCGTACGCTGCAATCTCATGTTTTAGTGAGCAGCAAACGTAGGGCCAACTCTGACTCCGAACCGAAATATGCCATCCAAAGGACGTCGAACGCATATTCACATTTTGCGATCGTGTGGGAATCTCTCCCATACGTTGACTGATCCGTCGATTGTCTGTTTCATTGGTCACAACCAACAACTGATCTGGCAATCAGTGTTCTCGTGATGGCCATCTGGGGAAGAAGATATCATGAGATCATGCAAACTCAAGTAATTCTAGCAGTATTTTCTGAAAGCTTTGTGTCTTGCAAGTGAGTTAGCGGAGAGACAGTGCTTCATATGAAATGACCGATTGAAATCGTACATACGAGAGCCACGAACTCGACATCTCACCATCGCTGGTGTAAAGCACAATTGATTGGTACGACCCAGGGAAAAACCTGTCTAGATTGCAAGGTCAGCAAGAGGTAACAGAACGATTGACACAACTGATGGGCTTGTCAGATCAGACACCACGACTGAGATTGATCTGTGGATTTTTGCACGTGCGCACAGTCTACTGTGAGACGCTTAGACCTGCAGCATTATATGCATCAGGCCTCAACACGTACTGGCAAGTCATCAACAGGTGAACACGTCGAAATTATGATACAATTGTCTTTGGAAGAATTACTTACAACAGCAAACTAGGCTTTGCGAAAGACTCACTTGGAACCCAGTTGAATTTCTCGTTTATGATGTTTTGAAACAACTGAATGCGCTGCAGCAGGCCGCATCATTTTTCATTTGGTACGATATTTGAGATATCGCGATGCATGTATATACGTGATACACTACTCATAAGGTTGATGAAAATTCTTCGACAGTCCACGACAAGTTTCGCCCTTCTTTGGGCTCATCAGGTTGGCACAGTCCTGAGTTTCCATCAACCTTGTGTTCCACTTGAACCCAAATTGCACGAAATTAGTGAAATACACTGATTTGCAAACAAATTTGGTTTTTCCAGAGACTCACCTGGAACCCAGCTGAATCCGTTCATTTCCAGCCGATCCACCTGTGAGAAACAAGCAAGTCAGAATACGGCCAATGTGGGGTGGATTTCTCTCAGGAAGGTCGAATTTCTGAGGATTATCCCAGAATACCCGAAACCTACTGAGACCCCATTTCCACGAAAACGCCGACGAGACAGCTGTGGATCATAGGCAGTGTGAGACATCTATGGATCAGAGTCCGACAGTGTGAGACAGTTCAGGTCAAGGTCAAAGAGGACCCTCTCAATATGTAGCGCGAGAGAGTCTTAGTCAAAGTTCAGACAATACCCCTCAATCAAATAGCACCAGGCAGTTGTACTTTTGCACTCGCCCTGGCTTGTTCGTAATAAAGCTGTTGTGTTCCTTTTCGGCGAGTCCGGCACTACGCACCGGAGCTGGGTCAGCAGTCAAAGGTAACAATTCAATTTCTAACAGTTGTCTTTTGTCGAAGCCAAAACCTCGGCTCTTGAGGCGTATCTAGAAGAACAACAGCACAACAAAGTGATAGACTTCCGGTATTTCTCCTTCCGTGAAAGCTTCAGACGGCATAATCAAACCTTATGTCGTAGGAATAAGATGCGAGTCCTGGTTTCATCCAGTTGCTTGAGAACTTTATTAAGAACACGCACACACGCTGTTTGAAATCTTCAGACGCCTTCAGGATCCCTCTAATCTGTACGAATATCTGGCTGCTCAATCTGGTCAAGCTAGACGGAAATGGACAGTCTGTAAACGTGTTTTTGGCAGTTTTATTATTAGCATACCGTAATTTGTCAACAGGTATCGTATGTACTGGAGCACAATGTATTCAATGCATTTTTTGGGACTATGGATTGATCCCTATGTACATCTATACTACTGAAATTCTGTGAATTTATCAGTAGGTGAACTGTGGTTGATTTTGCCAAACACCATTTGGCGATGAATACAGTTGAAAGTTGTACGGGGAAAATATCCCGACACCTTACCATCGTGCTTTCCGCCCCAAAGAGGATGTGAGGACAAGGAGCACTCAAGGGAGCACTCAAGTATTTTGGTGACTGCAGTGCCCGTTTTGGATTACTTTCGGTTAAAGAATGAGCCAAACAACGGCACATGCTATAAAGATCATTACAGCCAGATAAAACAGGCTTGACGATCAACAGCACTGGGAAAACCTCTTCGTCTAACTCTCATGTTGAAAAAACTCCAGCGGATTACCCTGCAGTAGGTGAGATCGTCTAAACAGCAGCCTGGCTCTTTGATTGGGGGGAGTGACACACTGAGGGCTGCTGTGCCCGTTTATACCAATATGGATAACTTTTACATAGAAAGCGTCTGCTGATGCATTCAGTTACTAGTCTTTATAGGACTGGAAAGCAGAGTTCTTGAGCACAGTCCACACGCGTATCTGCTTGGTCGTCTGCACCGACATGCGTCGATCTCAGCTTTATCTCTCTCGCTAGTTACTGAATTCCAGATTGGCAGTAGAGTCATTCCAGGTGTTTTTCTATGTGCCGAACACCCTTATAGAGTAGAAGAGTTTTAGGAAGAAGTGCAGTTCTACAAATTGCTGGTATGTCCTCACAACGGTACGAACTCATGCACACAGGGAAACATATTTTGAAACGATGATCAGGGCATTTCATATGGAAATTCTCCTAAGTTTCAAAGTTTCGCTTCATCATCATCATCATCATCCGAATCAACATCATCATCATCCGAATCATCATCATCATCATCATCATCATCATCATCATCATCATCATCCTCAGCTGTGAAAAATTTCGTACCGGTTAGGTTAAAGAAGATCAATCTACTTGGGACTTATTACTTGCTGAATAAAAAGTGAGTCCATTCAACTGACCAATTAGAGCAAAATATTTGGGGATAATCTGAATGTTCAGTGCTGACCAGCATTCTGCATTTGTATGATGAGATACAACTGATCCGCAATAATGCTGACGTACAGGTGGACCCTACTATGGGCTTGCACTCGGTTACTGAACGTTCTTCGGCAGGAGTATAAAGTTTACCAGCGCGAGCTGGAGGCTACTTCTATTGGTATGAATAAGAGATATTTTGGATACGGAGTATGTGTAGCGCTCGTTATCCAACTGTCCCCAGAATCAGGTGTCGCGGCGCCCTTGTTCTTGGGTAATTGTGCTCAGATGGGTCATCCTTTGGAATGTTGTTAAACATCAAATTAGAGTGCTTTTCCATTGCTGTTAGACATCTAGCTCACTTTGGGTCACTAGATTTTTTTTCTATATCAGCTGATTCAAACCTCAGCTGACATTGGTTACGCTCTCAAATGAGTACAAATGCACCCAATCACAGCTGACCGAACCATTGAACAGAGCACACCCTTGCAACGTGGTTTTTCTGGTGATGGTCGTATTTTAAGCAACTCAGACTGCCCACAGTTGGTGGTAGATGAGCAGAGCTTCAGCGAATGAATAGTGTGCAAGCAAGCTGTCCGGAGTTGCGGTGTGTGAGGAATTTGCGTCCGATCGTCCAATGTATGGGCAAGCGATGATTCCTCGTCGGCCTCTGGGACAGAAACGTTCGATCGATAGTTCACACAATATTTGATGGAGCCGATAGTTCACATAATATTTGATGGACTGATGATTTAAACCGGACCGTAGAAAAATGCTAGAAAAAAGAGCTCGTGATATGTGGTTTTGCTCTACCGGATGTAAGTCTCTGAACTGAAAACGGCTCTTCGATAGTTCACACAATATTTGATGGACTGCTGATTTAAACCGGGCCGTAGAAAAGTGCTGCAAAAAAGAGCCCGTGATATGTGGTTTCGTCCTACCAGATGTAAGTCTCTGAACTGAAAACGGCTCTACTGTGAGACAGTGTTCAATGTGTCCAACGCGGTGCAGTCCTGTTCACATAGACAACCAGAGCATTTCGGCAAATAAGTTATGATACAAACAGCGCAAGTTTGCCACCAGATATCTTACCAGATACTTAGAGCTTTGGCCCCAAATCCCGAAACGTTATTATATTTGGAATTTTATAGGGAAGTTTCAAAACGGAACTACGAAGATCTGAGTTTCAACCAACTGCTGCTGTTTAATGCTGCCATTTTACGCTCCCTGTTTGAAAACGATATGTTCTTGGTCTCGCCACTGCATTAGTGATTAAGCAAGAGGAAACTGCTGAGCTCATACCGTTAGTACCGTAGTCAATATGCTTTTTGTGTCATTTTTTACACCCATACGCCCAAGTTTCAAAACTCGGATTCGGAACTCTGTAAGCAATCTAAGTTATCTGCAAACTGTAACGCTTTGTCCAAGTTATTTTCGAATTTTTCGGAGAACATTGGTAGTGTTGGTCTCTGGTAGGTTTGATATTCTAGATAGTGGCACAACTTGTCCGCTGGACAATGACTCAATCTCTCTTTGGGAATGAGTCATGTGGTGGACAGGCGCTGAGCGTGTGATCGATTTTACTGTTGCTGTTACTCACGCCGTACTCGTTCATGACCAAAAATACTCAGCCTCTAGGAGCTAACTGACTGTGGAAGGCTAAGAATAGCAGACAGTGAATGACTGGAGTCATGGGCTTGGTATGAACATCAGAAGGAGTTTGTGACCGTTTTGGAAAAACCGCGAATAGGTTGGGGTTTCCCCCTGTTTCAAAATGAGACTCCCTTAAATACGGATTGAAAGATGAGACCAGTTTCTAGGGCGATTAATATAATCACCTCTGCTTTTTTAGATTTCTCCGAAATATGTTGACTCGCTCAACGTTTCTGTTCAAAAGGGATGGCAAGGGTGTCGTTGCACTGGATTAAGCCTGGTGGATACATGGTGGTCCACAGTTCACCCATAAACCCAATAGCAAGAGGTATCATCGGACAAGTAGCCACATAAGTCACTTTCGGCAGAATGTCGGAACTGTTTCTCTAATCTGAAGTTCATTTTGCACTTTCAAAGTATGAAACCTTATTGCGGGATTTTCTACCCTTCAATACACATTTGGCAGTCCGGTATGAAGACTTTGAGTTCATTGGAGGATATCTTCCTGCAAAAACCAAAATGGTGACGAGTTCGTGGGGTCAAGGTCACGAGGTGACAACGTGAATTGAAAATGACAGTGCTTAAAATGAGTGCTGTAGGATATTCATTTCCCCGGAGCTGGTTCTTTCTGCACGTGGTCCAACATCCAGTCAAAATGGAGCACAGGTGACCTCAGTGGTGAGCATGTCGTCAATTCCCAGGCGTACAGATTAGTTGGAGTTTTCTTGCTGTTTGTAAAGCTTGTGAAGTGAGGTTTGACGAGAATTCTGAGTCATTCCGGTTATTGAGTTCTCATTCCTACGTGATGCTTCGTTACGCTTACTTCAGTGCCACGTAAAAATGAAAACATCTTTTAGTGATGAACCATCTCTCAAAGCATCACCTGAAGCAACTCTAATATTTTTTTGAAAAATAAGTTAGAAGCTCGATTGTTTATAGCTTTTTGTCTTGCCCAAAACGTCCAACCGTCTCCTTCATGCTTTGTGGCAGGCGAATTCCTCGGTGTGCACCTTTATCAACATTCTAGAGCAATAACTATAATGTAATTGTCTCAAAAACTCGAAAGGGAAATAACCTGGTGATGTAACATATCGTAGGAATCTATCTTACTTTTAGATGACAAGACAAGCAGAAATCATCAGAAGCAATAAGAAAAAGTTGTTTAAAATGGACGTATCCTGCTCAAACAGGATTCATGTAATCACACAGCCAGATTTTTACCGTAATCTTCTAACGTAAGCAGTCTCAAGCCAGCTAATGTTTTTGAACGTCTGTTCTCAGAAGACTCCAAAGCAGTCAAAGCCGGATAAATCAGGTGATCGTGGTGGCCGCTCCATCTCTCTTCTCAGCCTAATCACAGGCTAGGAAAAATTTCATACGGATAGTTTCGGACGCGATCATGTTAACTTGTACTTAAACAATACACCAGCTTGAAGCCTGTTCCACCACATTAGCAATATGAATACACTAATTCTGATTGGTCTTCCCAGTTAAGCCTGATCGCTAAACCACCATGCAGACCGCGGGTGATGTCAGCCAATCAAAAGCGTCGGTCGGTCATATCGATCTATCATGTGAAGATTCATCACCATTTCCTCTCTTGAAAATCACTCTCATTTCCAATATGATTCACATATCTCAATTGTTACGCCAGGTCTAGACAAACCTTCCTGCCCAAACTAGACCATAGGGTGTCTGTGAGGAAGAAATTTTATCGATTTTTGTAAACGGCAAAGAAATGACAGCAGCAAAAAAGCCGTAAGTAAATGAAACCTAAGTACTTCATTATTTAAGGTCCGAAATAATCTGTCTGTCCACGAGGGCTAAGTAGGTACAAAACCTCAAACGTGCTGTTTTTCAATCTGCCGGGCAATTGGAAAGATTGATTTTACTGACTAAAAAACGGGAAGCATCTAGAAACACACAGACGTTGGTGTTCTCTAGCTATCAGATCCCACCAGCTACATATGGCTGTCATTCTGCAAGCGACACCAAACGTTGTATTTCAGTGGATGGGGATTCGTCGGTTGCAGTAATTTTGACAGACCTATGTCCCCCTTTTTCCTTCACAGTTGAGTAACAGTTGACTCAACTTCAACATAAAAATCCCACCCTCACCAGATCCCATCAGTTACATATGACTGTCATTCTGCAAGCGACACCAAACGCTGTATGATAGTAGAGTTGTTTCTACTTCAATGGACTCAACTTCAACATAAAAATCCCACCCTTCCAACAGACCAGGGATTGTGCGCCACCTCCTCGGTCAAATCGTTCAACCACGCGCCATTCGTTGACTAAAACATCGTTCGCCCATATTGAATAATACGATGAATCTCTGCACCATCGATTAATTAACGCAACCACAACGACCCAAGGATAATTGATTTGCTAAGGGAAGCGAGCATTTGGCCGTGAGAACATCGGCATACTGATGTGCGTTGGAGCAGCTAGGAAAATACGATGAAACTCTGCACCATCGATTAATTAACGTAACCACAACGATCCAAGGATAATTGATTTGCTAAGGGGAGCGATCATTTGGCCGTGAGAACATCAGCATACTGATGTGCGTTGGAGCAGCTAGGAGGTGAGGTGATCCATTCTGCGGAGATCCATTGAATGTGAATCATTTACGATAATCTTGGCTCAGAATGAACCCAACTGTCGCCAAAACGTTACACACTACACTCAAGTATTAAATTAAAGTCCCATGGAGTGAGTAGCACTCCAGAGACTCTTGAGGTAGGTGTATTGGATCCGTGCAGTGATGTCATGCTGTCGATGACGATGATGACGATGATGATAATGATGCTGATGCTGATTATTATTATTATTATTATTATTCGGATGATGATGATGATGGTGATGATAGTGATGCTTGGACCCGTGGATATTTGCGTGTTAGCTCGTATAATATGAACCACGAAAATTTTTGCTACACATTATTGACTTGATGGTTTATGATCACGCGTCAACTTGAGAGACAGTTTCGCAAAAGTGATATCTTTTCACTGAGTGTTTCCTATTTGCGTGCACATAAATAGACCATTTTTGGCAAAGTTCATTTGCGTGTTAGCTCGTATAATACGAACCACGAAAATTTTTGCTACACATTATTGACTTGATGGTTTATGATCACGCGTCAACTTGAGAGACAGTTTCGCAAAAGTGATATCTTTTCACTGAGTGTTTCCTATTTGCGTGCACATAAATAGACCATTTTTGGCAAAGTTCGCCATTTTTTACGCATTTGGTACACAGCAGTGTCAAAGATTGGTTCGGAATGTCACACAGATCCGTTTCCCCAGTTGAAAGAAACTCTCGTTGGGGTCCTAAGCGTTTGGAGACCGGAGGAAAGTGTCCCCCCCTGGGAAGTGATCCCTCCTCAGGCTAGTCTGACAAAAGGTGACAACCGTACAACGGAAATAGATAATACATTGAACCGTTTTAGTAGCAACTCGGCTACCCTGCATTCCTTATCGCAGTCCGACTAAGAATCTGATGGGCAACAGTCTATTACTTCAAAACTGACATGAAAGCTCGTATGTTTCAGGACTGAAGATGCTTGAGGTAGTCGTTGTTCGTACACTTGTTTGTTATAGGCCGGAATAATGTAAAGGGACCTCAAGACCAGTGCGTATCCTGTAAAAAGCTATTGGCTGGATCGCGCTATGACATGACCTGTCCTAATTATGTTCACTTTTCCAGTTTGTTTCTGAGTAGGGTATTCCGAATTTTTCGGTGTCCATTTTTTGACGGTACCCATCACCTTTTGACCAAGATGTTTTCCAACCACCGACTAGGAGTCGAGACCCAATTGTGGTTCTGCAATTTTTCACTGATAAACTGTAGAATTTGTCTTAGGAATCGGAACCACCACATTTCCACGTGAGTCGATATCTCCATAAGTGTAGCCGTAATACACAGAAGAAAATCCTGACATCTTTTTCTATATAAGTGCAAAATACGGTTGGCTGGCTCGCTTATTTTTTTATGCTTTTTAGTCGGGGCAGATGAACTTGGTACCTCGGTTATTCTGAAACTGTTGTGCTCCTGTTAAATCAAATTCCAATCGGTTTGGACCCAGGCAAAGACGTGCGTCTCATTCACGTTTGTTATACATTAAACAGCTGAATTTCACTCACTGTCTTTGGGTTGGCCTGCCCTCTCTCCCGGTGTGCTATCCACCTGTGTTTGCGCTTCTGGCATTCAGTCCCATGCTGGCACTCAGTCTCCACTTGTTGAGGGTGAATTTCAAAGAAAATTCAGATTCTTCCTCCCCTTAGTGCCCTTTATCCGGGAGATCTGTTTGTGTGTCATGCGTGATTGATGTTGCGATAGCCACTCTTAACTTCCAGCTACAAATCTAAGCAAGCAAACCAGAGTTGTCTTCACAGGTACTGTTGTCCCATCGTCACGTGATAGTGTATCACTTGAATAGTATGAACCTTCAGTACGAGAAGTTTATCGAAAACAACATAATATATCTTAAATGAAAGTAGGTGTGGATTTGGTAAGTTTGATTGCGTACGAATGAAAAGATTTACCTGGTGGTCGCTCTCCGGCGCAGTATGCGATAGTTTCCTCATGGATACTGGGAGCTGCCTGACTGAACATGTCGATCATTCTCATTGACCAACGAGAAAATTGGGTCCATTCAAAAACTATACTGTTTACTTGTGGTGTAATCGATCTGGGTATATTTAAAGGGGGTGTGTGGTTCATCCTATAAGTGGAGCCAGTCTGTGCTGAAAAGCCGAGAAGTACTGTGCAGCAATTTCATCCTTGTTGGTAATCGTCAGCAGTGCGCATTTCAACAAAACTCAAGAAAGTTTCCAACCCACGACCGGTCCTGGTTGGTTGTTTGAACACTAAACAGTCCAGCCACGATTAGCCGATCAACTGTGTAACTAACGCGCACTTAGAGAAAGTATCGCACCATATTTTCTTCAATCACGGAATACAGCAAACCTGTGAGTAGTTTCCTTTATGAAAATATACTGCGATATCTCAAATATCGTGCCAACTGAAACATGAGGCGGCCTGTGTGCAGCACTTTCAGTTGTAGAATATCATAAACGAGAGGTGTCGACTTATTTAAACGGTTCATCAAAGCCACGTGTCAGTGGGCACAGGAGGTCGCTATTCAGGTGAACCCATTCAAACGCACCGAGATCGGTGCCCTTTCGTCCAAATACTATCGGCGATTTTTCACCACCCCAACTTATCTTATTTTTAGAAATATCTTGGTTTTATCCTCTCTGCTGGCTGGCAAAGTTCTCCTTCAAATCGGTAACTGTCTCCTCAAATAGTTGTTACTTATACACTTACAACTGCCATTTCAGACATTTCGCATCCTTCATCTGTGGCCTTGCGAAAGTGATCTGTAGTTAATCAGTTTTCTCTATCCATCATGGTAGTCCAAACATAAGGTGTCATAAGGAAGGATGTGAAATACACCTTATTTGATCGATCGCCTCCAGAACCCATCGATGGCCTGCATTTATGGGCAAGTACATTCGCGAATCAAAATTCAGCTGGTTCATTATCTCGCCTTTTTGATAATCTGAGAGTCATTGTTCAAGGCGCGATTAAATCTCCACCCTGAAACGTGTTTAGCTTTCTAAGTCTCCCTGTTTTCTCCATACGTCATGTTGGTGTACAGCCGAAGGGACTGAATTTTCTCAGCCGTCCTCTTGGAGAAGTAAAATCGTGCCCTCACTCACCTGTCTGTAGGAAAAGACGTATTTCTCTCGGACATCGGTCGCAACCTAGACTTTGAACATACCTCCTTAGTACAACCGAGTGTATCTTGTTAAAACGGGGTTATTCGACGCTTCTCTCTCTTTATTTGCATTAGTGGACCATGATAAATGACAAGCCATTCAGCACAGCCCACAGGACCATAAAAAACAGCACATGGTCGACCATCAAGTGAAGAGTGACCGACAGCTCCTAGGCTTAACGTAAACCTAAACAAAACTCGGCTGATCTCCTGTCACACAGACTGGAATAGATGAGAGTAATTTTTTTCTGTGACCTTGTTGACTGAAACTACAGCTCTGATTACCATCGTTCACCTGGCCGCTTATGGCGACAGTCGCCGCAAACGGAGGCGCAAAGGCAGTCAGAAACTTTAAAAACATACTGTGGTCCGTACATATAACGGACGTGTCATATTAGATTCCTTTAGTACAGATTTTTGTCCCCCCGTTGGGAAGTGCATCACATTCCGGAATAGCGAATACCACTGTTCTTGTCTGGGAGTACTGACAGTGGCCTTGCGACAGTGATCTGTAGTTAATCAGTTTTCTCTATCCACCATGGTAGTCCAAACATAAGGTGTCATAAGGAAGGATGTGAAATACACCTTCAGGAGAGATCCCGAAGAGAGTCTTCTTCTCAGGATGACCCAGCAAACCTCTTTGTCGTGGTGCTCGGTCCCTCGACGAAATGGTATAGTTAGTCTTTGGGAGGGGGATTACTTCCCATGACGAGTAAAACTTCTGTCTTGGAAGTCACCCGAGGAGCTAGTCAGTATGTGACCACGTGATGTAGTCCCTGTGATTTCATAACGAATGACGCTATACACTAAGTATGAGTTAACCAACTTCTGGTCAGCCGCTCATGGCCAAACGGTCACGTGCTCAAAATACTAGCATGCACGAAATCTGAACCCATTCTGCGTGGGTTGGAAGAAGCGCCAACATTCCTGACCCAACACGGTACACATAAGTATGTTGTAGGTTATACACTACTCATAAGGTTGCTGAAAATTCTTTGACTGTCCACAACCGGTTTCGCCCTTCATGGGGCTCTTCATCAACCTCACATACTATTCGAATATCTAGTTGAATGTAGGTGGTAGAATGCACTCGTTTGCGAACTACATTGATGTTAGCCAAAGATTCGACTGAATCTCTTACTTAGGATATTTTTCAACTGGATGTCCTGCACAAAAACCACTCCGTGTGCGAGATATTGCAGCATGTCTCCCTGGAACAACGCACAACCCCCAAAGTTTTTATCGAGGAGGTCCCAGTATCCCTGTGAGTGGGGCGTTATTAAAGAAAAATATACTGTAATGCCTCAAATATTGTGTCAGGTGAAATGGCCTTTGTGCATGACATTCGGTTGTCGAAGAACACCAATTTTATATTCTTTGAAACAGACGTAAGAATCTTACCTGCACATTTATCAGGTTTAGGCCCATATTATATTCGATTTTCGCCTACATAGCCGCCACCAATGGAACGATCGATGATTTGTAGTAGGTGATCCATAGAACAGACTCTTTTCCGAGTCGCTTCTCAAGTATTAATCGGAGGTCACCAAAAACTTCAATATTATGGCCGGAAAATTGAGTCGGCGAATCAGGCTTAACACCTAACAACGTCGGCCTTCCATTGGTAGGTAGCCTTCTGTTGGGCTCGCAGTGTGGCTCGGATTTGCTGAGCACAATAATGGTCTGTTAGTACGACCATCCAATTTTTCCGAAGAGCAAAGATTGATGCAAAAGCCACTACAAAGCCACAGAGACAGCTCCCATGCTTTTGGATAGAGTACCAACGGGGCATCGGTTCATCTGGACGGCCCAAATATAACCTGTTCCTCGGAAGGAACCTGACGTACTCAAAAACATGATAGAGGAATGTGTGAACCTCCATACACTCCGTCTTGTCAGAGGTGTACTTCGTTTCGATCCAGAGCGACTTACGCGGAGTCGCATTCTTATTACTTGTTTCATCTTCTACATTTTATGTAGTTATCTCGATTGCTCTTCTAGGCATATATCTGCCGTCAGCACGTATTTTTGGTGGTCTGATGTTGCAACCGACATCACTGTTGACACTGGCGCTTGGCTGACGTAAAACCACAGGAAGTTCCTAAAAGGCTTCTTACTGGAAATAATATAATAGGAGAAATTTTCACTGACCCATATAATCTATTCTTACTCTCCTACGTCTACAAATTCATTCAAAAGATCTGGATAGAGACTGACAAATTGACTGCCAGAGGAACCGATCAACACAGATGAACGCCGGGAGACCATTTCCTGCACAACCAATCCCACTGATGGCGACAAATTCTTCAGATCCCTTCGTCCACTCAGTCTCATCTCTCTATAGGTAGAATTTCAACACTTCAAAGCAAGGGAAGCGATGGCAGCTGTGTTATCTAGGTGACTCGAACGATTCATCTGCATAACCCTTGATGGACGGATCTACCTTAGTAGTACCACTCACCACAACGAATGACGTACTGTTGCACGGCAAAACTTTAAAACTGATTTCGGCGCATTTCATATCACCCAATAATGTAATGAATCATGTGTAAAGTCTGCTGATTTCCAGAGCAAAACTTAGCGCAGAATGAGCACACGAATGGGTCAGACAATATAAACCTTAAATTTGTTGAACCCCCAAGAAAAATTATCATTCCAAGTTGAAACGTAGTTCAGCTATCCCGGGTGAACGAGTTAGTTGAAGTGCGTGTGCATCCGAATCCACGACAATGAGATGTTTACGTGAACCAGTACGCAGACCGCCCCCACTCGTCGAGGATCGGTAATGGGCATGTGAAGCACAGCGACGGTCACCAGCTCATCTAAATCCACCAATCATACCGAAGTTAGGCTAGGCCTTGTGGAAACCAATCAGTTTGCCGATATCAAGGTCGCTACCGGCCGAGGGTTTTTCACACCAATCAGGAGCGACGTGACTTGTGTCTGGGACCTGTCGGCGTGCGTTTCTCGTGCCACACGGGATTTTGAACTAGCAGGGAGGACGTTGAGGCGTAAGTTGCTTTTTCGGGTCTGTGTAATAAAAGTTTTTATGTCCAGTAGTCATTCGTTTATGAGCTGATTGCAAACGGTAACAAGAGCACTCTCACGGTAAACGTCATTAAAACATCTGCTGATACAGGAGCGGGAAAGGCAGCATAGTAATTTAGTCGTTTAGTAAAAGTTGTGACGGATGTGCCTGTGTGTTGTGTACACGCCTGCAAGCTTCTGCTCAGATGCGCTCTACATATGTTGCTACAATCATGCTATTGTAAGGACACGCCTGATAGAACGTCGACATTTTGTTGGGTATCTGAGCTCTACAGATGTGATTTTCGACCTGTTTTCTGTTTCGTAAGAAGCCCAGATGATAACAATGACTCATCCCAGGAATTCAGCTCCAGTGTGCGAGGGGATCGATGCCCGTAAATCCTGAAGTGTAACTCTAATGAGAGCTTCCACAGCTGTGATACGCTAGACTGAGTGATAGGTTTTTCGCATGTTGGGAAAGATGTTTGCCAGTGGTTCCATCGGGGAGACTTGGGAAGCTTTTCCACGTATTGCTCGATTTTCCTGTCTACAACAGTTAACCAGTGAAGCACCCAGAATCGCGTTGATATGAGACTGATTCTTACTGAGTTGCTGTGACTTTTCGCGACTCAAACTGTCTAAGAATACTTTCATTTTGTTGCGCTAAACAGTTTCCGAAGTGTCGAAGAAAAAGCTTTGGTATCTCACTAGTGCAACAGAAAGACCTCCATCCGTTGTATGAACACGATGGTCAAACATTTGTATAGCGTAGGACGAGAATCTTCGTTTGTGGGATGCAGGCTTCACGAATGTAGATAACAGAATCGAAAATCAGGTTCTGTGGTATGGTACTGTTTCACACGCCTTTGTTGAACTCACACATGTGACATATGAGCTACGAACAGGCTTGTCGAAAGCTACTAGATATTCATAATCAGGAGAGGGTGACTAGACAGTCTTTAATCTTGATCACAAAGTATAAGCGAAGACAACCTGACAGTATGTCTTTTCCTGGTCCAAGTTTGAATTCACCGGGACCAGCATCTTCGAAATGCTCTCTTAGATGACTCATTGCCATCATACACCAGCTATGGTCGTGTTCTATCTTATTTGAGGTGGCTCAGTCACCTGCAGAAATGTAGCCATCAAAGTTTTTACGTCTGATATTTCTCTCTCTGATTTCCTCCTTATGTTGCACATCTAGCCTTCAAGCTTTTGGCATCTGCTACGCTGACAGTTAGTACTAGTCTGTTCCGAAGAATAGCGTTAAAAAAAGTGACCAGTTGGGGGTAGTGCTTCTTTAAGGTTACTGGACTTGTCAACGAGATTTTCCACGCGTAACGAGGCGGAAATACTTTGGGAGCTTGTGATTCAGCGTAGATGCCTGATGGTGAAAGAGCAAAGTTACAGTCTCTTAGCCCCACAGATGTGGCCACAAAAATATTTTTCACGACTAAACAACTTACCGGAATATTTGCTCATATTTGGGTCAGAATGATAGTCAGACCAAGGTTAAGCGAAGAGCTTTGTGCCTCAATAACTACTTTTTAGATTACACGGCGCCGTGACCTGTATCTAAAGGGCTCACGGAGCAAACAATGCGATATAACGGAGCGAAGTGCACTACGTTTCTGGCTATCGAGATAACAAGCGATTCAATTGATCTCAAAGGCATGTGCTTCAAAACACTATTACACAGCCACATTGTAGATGAATAACAGTTTGGGGGGAAAATCTGTCACCTTTTTTAGGCTCCAGTTTTAATGCAATTTATTCAGTTCCTTTTAATGTATTAGATGAACAGTCAGTAATAAGGTTATGTTGGTTATCTTGATGACACCGTGAAATGACCTACTTCCCGCAGCATACTCAGTAACTGGACTATTTTCAAGATGACAAGGTTTATTCGGTAGTATGTATTTGGATCGGGGGCCGGTCGACGGTCCACTCTTGAGAACAAGTTCATTTTCCCTATTCCTTATTCCTAGGAGATTGCGCGTATCCTGCAAACTAACTGTAATCGTTTCCGGTTAGTCAGTAGTAAATATGGTTGAACGTATAGACTAGTCCTGGTCATAGTTTGTTTCCTCCTTTGTGCACCTCAAATATACATTTGGGAGCTAAACTCCGATCTACAATGATTGAAGCTTAAAATTATGGAGTTGGGTTTGACAAGTTTTTTTTGCAAAACGCATACAGACAGCTAGCGAATCATTACGTTTATACATGTATCGCGATATCTCGCGTATCGTACCAAATGAAACATGAGGCGGCCTGGCGCAGCACATTCAGTTGCTTAAACACATCATAAACGAGAGATTCAGCTGGGTTCCAGGTGAGTCTCCCAGAAAACCAAATTTGAAAATGAGTATATTTCGCTGATTTCGTGCAGTGTGGGCTCAAGTAGAACGGTTGACGGAAACTGGGGGACTGCCCCAACAAGGGGGAAATCGGTCGTGGGCTGTCGGCCAATCTTCGGCAACCTTATGAGTAGTGTGTTACGTTTGTACGGTTGTTGAAACTTGTGCGGTTTTTCTTTAGTATGGTTTCAAAACTTATGAGGTCGATTAAATAAAGGGGCTTATCACAGTGTATAGCACTAGAAGTACGCATATGGCTTCCTCATCCAAATTCCCTAAAAGTCGCTGTTTGTTTTTTCAGTGTTAGTCAGGTGATTATTAGCGTAGCGTTTAACTCGATTTTAAAGCATATCTGAGTGAAGTGAATTTGCTAGGGAATTTGGAATTGGCGTGGTCTGACCTGACAAACACCTGGATGGTGTGAAGATCGTTGTCTAGACACGACTTGTGGTGTGTCCCTTGTTTGGTCTCGTGTGATGCAGTGTGACTAAACTCGTGTTATCGACCATGTAATTGCGGCACAGCTGTGTTTAAAGTTCTGACAAGGACTGTCACGAGAGTTCTTTGGGAGAACTCTTATTCCCCCATTTCGGAGGCGCTCACTAGTTTTGTGTGCGTTCCTGATAGGTTATCAAGCTTTTTTTCGATTCAAAAGAACATATTATTACGCAAGCTGCTGCCTTCGATGTAGTGTTTACATGTTCTGTTTCTCTGAGAGTAAAACGTGTCCGTTGCTCCTTCCCGTCATACGGTTCCCGTATGCTTCATGATCCGTAAGCTGCCATAAAATCAATATCGTTGGTTATCAAGTGGATGAGTATTAGTCGGGGTAAATTTAGCGCTTGAAAACATGCCAGTTGTTGATACATTCTTTCAATGAGGTATCAGCTTGTGAGTTATGGTCCCCTGTTCATTAAGCTATCACTCCTGTCAGCTAATCTGTCATACCAACACTGTTCTCGACTTCGGGACCAGTTGAATAACGATGTAGCAACGAAACTGTTCTCCAACCCGGTCTATTTTCATTCATTTTGTTTAAGTCATTGATGGAACTATATTTACAACAAACCCTTTTCTAGAGCAGGAGATAGCTTTTTTTGGAATCGCCAAAGATTGTACACTGCTGTGGATTGCTAGCTGCACTGCCTATTCTGGGAAACGTCTCAACGGTGGCAGTTTCGGTATGTCTGTAAACACAAACATACCGAGATGCGTGAGAACGGTTCGCCGTGACACTATCGGCAGATGGTTGCTATGCTTGCCAGGTCGTTCCTGGTTTGTCTCGTAACGTTTTGGTGAAACGTCCCCTCAGCCCTCGTGCTTCCCTCGGGTGACGTGGCAGCCGGGCATCAAACGAGTGTTACAGCCGAAAGATAATTTTGATGGTCTATTCTGTCCATAACCAATAAGATGTAAATCAATTATGTAGTTTAAACGCAGTCTACATCTTTCCTTTATCGATACGTCCTTCAGTGTGGACGCCCAGTTGAAAGATCAACCGAACCGAATACGTTTTTCATACACTTGAAAGTGCTATCTCCTCGGATGATAGCGTTAGCAACTTACCACCCGGTGTCATATCGCCGACCAGTCCCAAGATATATTCTCCCCTCATACGAACTATTTGTGTCTGGCTAGCCTTACACGACATGGGTGAGCAGATAGCTTCGGGTTGCAGACAGGTTATCCAGTGTATGTTGTCCAATCGCATTGAGCAGAATACAAAACCGACCAGAGTCTGAATCAACAAGTTTTTCGACCTTCAGACATCTGTCTGGAATGTTGCTGATAAGTTCATCTGACTGTACATTTATGGTTGCTAGGTTGGACTCACCAAGTCTGTTGACGTCTGAAGAACATCGAATGCGGGTATCTCCGATGCAGCGTATGAAAAACAACCTAATCAACTCACTGAGATATCCCGGTGAGTTAGTCAGGATGTTTTTGTACGTTCACTACCCAATTTTCAGCTTGCGTTCAATCTCACGTGATCAGAAAGACAGCACCATCAGTGTTGGCAGTGATGCTTCACTGCCATGCAAACATAAAGTTCATCCAATCATCTTTAAAGCGTTAGAATGAAAAGAAAAGAAAAAAGTGGATGAGGGGCAGGACCTAGTGCTGGTCTGTCAGACATTCTGAGGTGCCTATACCTCCAAGCTCTTAATCAGATAAACTGCCGTCATTTCTTGCAGTGTCTCCAGCCAACCATAGGCGGGGTCACGGGGACCCCGCCCTGGAGCTCGTAGAACACCAATAAAATCCAAATCTGGCGTAGTATTTGTCACATCCTTTTGCCAAGTCATACATTGTCCACGTCGCGGTTTGCGTCATTCTGAAGGAGGCACGGAGAACAACACTCGTCTCGGTGGATGGTGTTTCGGCATGCATATGACATGGCTGAACCATCGTGGTTGATTGTGCTGGATGTTTTCCGCGATTGAAGTACCTGCCGCACAACCAAATACCAGTTTTCTAATCACCTCGTTGCTAACGCGCTGACGCCATCCAAAACACTTCTAAAGCATCGGTGGTCAAAAATCTAAAGACGCAAAGTTGTGGAATATAGGTTGGTTGTTGGTCTGTCCACCGAGCTTGGCAGTTGGATTGCAAACATCGTCAGT